GTTTGAAACCCGGGGGTTTAGGTAGTAAGATTTTTTCTTTTTGAAGTTTAAGATAAATGGGTGAAGGTCAGAATGTAACCCCAAATGTGTACACTTGTATAGAAAAGAACTTGAGTGTGTGGCATCTAAGCTTGTTTGTGGACTCATAATATATGCCTTAATTTTGCACATCTTGTCTTGCTTGAACACTCGTATGATTGTGTTGATGAACTGATTCGGAATGAGTTACATGCTAAGTGTGTGTGAGCTGTTATTTGCATCTTATGTTTGCATATGATACCTAGAACTTGCCCTGTGTGTGTGCAAAGCGAAATAGAAGTTGTTCGGTTTTAGAGATGATTGAGGCATTTCTTTGTGTAACCCTTTATACTCGGAAATCCACCTGTGCATATTACCATAGTTAACCCCTTTGAGCCTGAAGCCTTTTCTTTGATAACCCTATAATGATCTAAAATGTGGTGTTTAAATACGCTAATTGAACTTTTCCCTCCTAGAAGCACTTGAAGCACTAAAGTATATACAAAAGTCAAAGTGTGGGGTGGGGAGAAAGAAAGAAAAAAAAAAGAGGGGGAAAAATCAAGAATGAAGGTCTGATTGGTGAACTGGCAGTTATAATAAATCTGAAAAAAAAAAGAGAAAAGAGAAAAAGAAAAGGAGCCAGTTGTACCTAACGAGAAGTGGGGTGGCGCAAGTGAAATAAAATGTGGAGAAACAAGTGGGTTGATCATGAAAGCAAAATAAAAGAAAGTATGTATTAAAAGTGCTTAGGGAGGTTAGTCACTATATCCAAATATATCCTACCCGTCCCTTAGCCTACATTACAACCGAATAAAGACCTCTTGATCTTTGACTGAATGGCTCGATTAGTGGAGTATTACACTAGGGGCAAGCGTATGGTGTATCTGTGTGGCATGTGAATGCTCTTTGCTGAGAGTGAGTGAATTCTGTTTATATATGGTTCCTCGTTGTTGAATTTTATTGTGTGTGGAACTACTCTCAAATCGTGTTTATGTGAGGGCATGTGACTCAGGAAGAAAAAGTGAATCTTCAGTTCAGTTAGAGTAATTAGAGTGAGCACAAGTGTGTCATGGCATGAGAGTCTGCATTTGAGTTATGATTGCGCACTGCTTAGGTCGGTCTTTGATAATATCAGGTGTGACATAAATTGGGGCAATACATTGCACAGTTAGATATAGAAGTGTGGTTTAGCTTGCTCGAGGACGAGCAAAGGTTTAAGTGTGGGGTGTTGATAATAGGTGAATTTGACTATAATCACGCACCAAATAATCACCTTCTTGTGAACTTTTAATGTGGAAAAATGACAACAAAATGCTCTTATTAGTGCTTTTCATGATTTGCAGGTGATATAGGTGTAAGAAAGGCTAAGGAGCGGTTTTGGAGTCAACTATTGATGAAAAAAGGCCAATTGTTGAATTTCCCAAGTATCCCATTCAAAACAGGCCGAAATTTCCGGGTACAAGTTCCACCGCGGTTCTACCGCGACCGCGGTGAAACCGCGGTGGAAGGCAGTTTCTGAAAGTTGAAGATTCCGCGAGGGCGTTTGGCCGCGGTTCTACCGCGACCGCGGTAGAACCGCGGTGGGCACAGTAAACTTCAGGGACTTAAGTGTAAAACACGGGATTTTTAGACCTAAACCCTATTTAAAACACTAGACTCCGCCCAAGAGAGGCATGTATTGATTTTTTAGGTTTCTTTTGATTTTTATGATGAATTCAAGCGTAGTTTATTCTCCCATATCTATGAGTAGCTAAATTCCTTGTCTAAGGCTTTGATGGAACCTATTGGGTGATGAACTTCTTGTTTATGTGAATACAAATTGCTAGTTTAATCTTTATTTGTTCAACTTCGTGTTCGTTGTAGTTAATTGACAGGATCCTCAATTAGCTGTACCTATTTAGTGTGCATAACTTGGAAAAGAGTGCATATTTAGGGTATTGTTGACAACACCACTCCTAGATTATTAGAGGAATCTATAATTGCGGGTTTAAAGGCGGGATTAGGAATAACGAAGTCTTGGGTGCAATCTAAATTGAATTGTGCTAAATAAAGCAAGCTAGTGTATCTCGGGAGAGTGCAATAGTAGATTACTGTGATTACTCGGGAGAGATTTGCGGTAAGATTAGCGTTCAAGATTGATAGAGATGAGTGGGTAAATTTGTATGAGCATAAACAGGAGGGATTCCATCAATAGGGGAAACCATTGTCTTAGCTTTATCCCATAATTGTTTACAACCTTATTAATTTAGTTACAGCCATTTAGTTACTTGCAAGCTAGTTGTTAAAGAACACTCAACTGAGAATTTGAATGTTTGAGAAGCTGGTGCTGAATACTTAGTGGGTTTGAAGATAGCGGTTGATAGGTTAACTCTCTGTGGATTCGACCCTGGGCGTAATACTAGGGTTATATTTGCAACGTCCGCAGAGTTCTTTTTTAGAAGGCATAGTTGGGCGTGATCAGTATCCACTTGTGGATTTTATTTCCGTTGATCCGGTGATCTAATTTGCATCACTATATCCCTCAATAACTGCGGGATAATTATTGTAATGCACTGCATAGTCTTGAGTATATTTTAGATATCCCAAGACTCGTTTCATTGCTATCCAATGAGCTTGGTTGGGATTACTTGTCTATCGACTAAGCTTGCTTATTGCACAAGCTATATCAGGTTGTGTATAATTCATAATGTACATCAAATTTCCCAACACTCGACCATATTCCAATTGAGATTTGCTTTCACCTTTATTCTTTGCAAGAATATGGTTTAAATCAATTGGCGTTTTTGCTTCTTTAAATTCCAAATATTTGAACTTTTCAAGAACCATTTTAATATAATGAGATTGAGACAAAGCTAGACCTTGAGGAGTCTGTAGGATCTTGATTCCCAAAATTAAATCTGCAACTCCTAAGTCTTTCATATCAAATTTACTAGTAAGCATGCGCTTAGTAGCATTTATGTTAGCAATATCGTTACTCATTATCAACATATCATCCACATATAAACAAACAATGACTATTTAATTTGGAGTATTCATAATGTAAACACATTTGTCACACTCATTGATCTTGAAACCATTTGACAATATTGTTTGGTCAAATTTCGCATGCCGCTGTTTTGGTGTTTGTTTTAGTCCGTAAAGTGACTTGACAAGTCGACACACCTTCTTTTCTTTTCCGGGGACTACAAACCCTTCAGGTTGTTCCATATAGATTTCTTCCTCTAAATCCCCATTTAAGAAGGTCATCTTTACATCCATCTGATGGATTTGAAGGCCATACACAGCGGCTAACGCTATTAACACCCAGATAGATGTAATCCTTGTTACCGGAGAGTATGTGTCAAAGTAATCAAGAACTTCTCGTTGTCAAAACCCTTTAACAACTAATCTTGCCTTATATTTGTCAATAGTACCATCAGCTTTTATTTTCTTTTGAAAATCCATTTAGAACCCAAAGGTTTATTTCCCGGAGGAAGATCAACCAATTCCCAGGTATGATTACTTAATATGGATTGTATCTCACTATTGACTGCCTCTTTCCAATATTGTGCTTTCGAGGAAGAAATTGCTTCTTTGAACGCTTGAGGCTCATTTTCCAATAAGAATGCCAGAAAATCTGGTCCAAAGGAAGTAGCTATCCTTTGACGTTTACTACGTCTTGGATTTTCTTCATCAAACGAACTTTCCTTTGCTTCTTCCCGAGGTCGCTTAGATTTTTTATTAGACGACTCACATTCCATTTTATACGGATAAATATTCTCAAAAAATTCAGCATTATCCGATTCAATTACCGTATTAATATGAATGTCGGGATTTTCTGATTTATGAACCAGAAATCGGTATGCCTTACTATTTGTTGCATATCCTACGAAAACGCAATCAACGGTTTTTGGTCCAATTTTTACCATTTTGGGTTTAGGAACTTGCACTTTAGCCAAACACCCCCACACTTTAAAATATTTTAAATTAGGTTTCCTTCCTTTCCATTTTTCATATGGAATGGATTGTGTTTTGCTATGGGGAACTCGATTCAGTATTTGATTAGCTGTAAGAATAGCTTCACCCCACAAGTTCTGAGGTAAACCAGAACTTATTAATAAAGCGTTCATCGTCTCCTTTAATGTTCTATTCTTACTTTCTGCAATTCCATTAGATTGCGGTGAGTAAAGGGAAGTTATTTGGTGAATAATGCCATTTTCCAAACATATTTCTTCAAAAGGAGATTCATATTCCCCGCCTCTATCACTTCTTATCATTTTAATCTTTTTATTTAATTGCGTTTCAACTTCATTTTTGTATTGCTTGAATGCGTCTATTGCTTCATCTTTACTCTTAAGTAAGTAAATATAGCAATATCTAGTACTGTCGTCAATAAAAGTTATGAAATACTTTTTCCCACCGCGAGATGGTATTGACTTCATGTCGCAAATATCTGTGTGAATTAAGTCTAAAGAATTTGAATTCCTTTCAACTGACTTATAAGGATGCTTAACATACTTTGATTCCACACATATTTGACATTTCGAGTTATTGCATTCAAACTTAGGTAATACTTCCAAATTAATCATTTTTCGCAAAGTTTTGAAGTTGACGTGGCCTAAACGTTCATGCCATAAATTATTTGACTCAAGCAAGTAAGAAGAAGCTGAAGTTTTGTTCATATCAATGGCAATGACATTGAGCTTAAAAAGGCCCTCAGTCAGGTAACCTTTTCCTACATACATTTCATTCTTACTAATTACAACCTTGTCGGAAACAAAAACACACTTAAAGCCATTCTTGACTAGAAGTGATGTTGAGACTAAATTCTTCCGCATTTCAGGAACATGAAGAACATCTTTTAGAGTCACAATCTTTCCCGAAGTCATCTTCAAAGCCACCTTGCCCGTTCCTTCAATTTTTGCAGTAGCGGAGTTTGCCATAAACACTGTTTCATCGGGTCCAGCGGGAGCATAAGAAGTAAACAACTCCTTGTTAGCACAAACATGTCAAGTTGCTCCTGAATCAATCCACCATTCTCTAGGATTTCCGACTAGGTTGCATTCTGAAAACATGGCACATAGTTCGTCTATTTCATCATTCTTCTCAATCATGTTTCCTTGTCTTTTCTTCTTGTCCTTCTTTGCTGCACGACATTGAGTAGCCTTGTGTCCAACCTTTCCGCAGTTGTGGCAATTACCTTTGAACCTCTTCTTGCTTGGATAATTCGTTGATCCAGACGGCTTCTTTCTCTTTTTACTCGTTGAAGCTTTCTCAACAATATTTGCACCCATTATTGTTGAATTTCCACGAGATTTCTTCTCAGCAGCCTTGTTGTCCTCTTCAATCCGTAGACGAACAATAAGGTCTTCAAGCGTCATCTCCTTGCGCTTATGTTTCAAGTAATTCTTAAAGTCCTTCCACAGTGGAGACAGCTTTTCAATAAATGCCACAATTTGAAACGCTTCATTTATGACCATACCTTCAATCATAAATTTATAATTAGTAAAATAATTAATATTTTGAATAAAAATATTGACTCGTTTTATACCTTCAGCAAGGAGGTCATGAACAATAACTTGCAATTCTTGGACTTGCGTTATTACAGATTTACCGTCAATCATTTTGAAATCCAGAAATTTGGCGGCCACAAACTTCTTAAGTCCAGCATCTTCAGTCTTGTACTTCTTTTCAAGAGCATTCCATAATTCTCTTGATATTTTCATGACGCTATAAATGTTGTACAAGCCATCTTCCAGCCCACTAAATATGTAATTTTTGCACAGAAAATGAGAGTGCTTCCAAGCCTCAGTAACTAGGAAGCGCTCGTTGTCAGGGGTTCCTTCAGGCACGACTGGAACATCCTCTTGAATGAACCTTTGCAGACCTAGAGTGGTTAGATAAAAGAACATCTTTTGCTGCCATCTCTTAAAGTCAACACCAGAAAATTTCCCCGGCTTTTCCGCTGGTGGCATCGTCGTTGCAGGTGCAGTAGGACGGCTAGGACCTGGCATCCCCGAAACTGTGTTAATAGTAACAGTCACAGCAGGTTCAATTTGTTCCTCTCCGTTAGTCATTTCTGTCAATGACACAAACAGATTCACTAAATGGTGAAGTATTTATTCCTTCAACCCAAAACAACACAGTGAAGAGATTATTCTTCAAACTGATTTTAATACAGTGAAGAGATTATTCTTCAAACTGATTAGGAGTAGAAAACCACGAAGGTTTTAGTCTCCTTAGTCACTTCGAAAATCAGAATAGTATATATATATATATAATAAGATTCTTTAAGCTTGTTAGACAATCTGAAATTTTTAAGTGACTAAAAAACAGGAAAAGTAAATGCACAGAAATGGCAGAATTATGTTCCGAGCCCACAAATTCCTTGTTTGTCCTTAAAGAATCTTATCCCCTTACTGTTGCCCAAGGTTAACGGATAAATTCTTCCCAGGATAGAACGGAACTTCCGACTTAGCGGTAGCGGCACTTCAAACCACTAAGTTATCAGCGAACTCAAAATAATGGTGAAAATCACACGACCTTGACTTACTTTGTTTTGAAAGTAATGATGCAGAAAGAAGAAGGAGATGAAGCAGAAGATTTCAAGATAAAAAATTCTGAAGGAATGGCTGCTTATTTATAGCCAACGATTTCTGGACTGAAAGGGTGTGAAAGTGTTTGTTCACACTGCAGATGGCTATTCGTGAAATGCAGCCTCTCTTTGGTGGCTATTCGTGAAATGCCGCCTCTCTTTGGTGGCTGTTTAATTAACGCGGGAAAATTAAAGACGGAAATTAATTAATTTAACGTGACAAATAACGATCATTCAAAATATTAAAAAATATTAATATTATAATTAATTAATGTCATTTTATTGGTCCAAAAAATTAAGTCAATCAATCATATCAATTGACCGAATCCGAAGACGAAGCCGAGCGAACGACGACGGCGCGAGGCCCCTTCCTATTAGCTCCTTTTAAGAGCATAAGGAAGTGCTTCTATATTTAAACCCAACAAAATTCTTGTCTTTAACCAATCAGGGACAAAGTGCAAAAGCCGAAGTTGTCTTTTCACCTTCTTTCCTCATTTCCCATTCACACTACCACTTCAACCCCAACATTATTGTACAAAGATTGCCTACTTGCACGGCAAGTTTAAGTGTATGTGTTCTTATACCACATTTAATCTGTAAATAATACATGTATTTCCATAACTTATGAGTTGCAGGACCGGATTTCTATCTTGGATCCACAGAATGACCTATTTTTGTCTCGAAAACCGCTCTTAAGGCAGGTTCCACGTGAAGGTTTTAGCACAAAGTTTAATACCACAAAACCAGTCATTTCGATCTAGATTGATCTCCACCAATTCTGTCAATGCGTCAAGGTAGTGAACTAGATCAACATTTATCTTTTTGATTTCATTTTGAACTTTTCGATATCTCTAGAGTCTAGACAGTTGAATAGCGCCACTATTTAAGATTAATATTTGAACTCTTCATTGTTTCTTCCTCCCGACAAAAAGACTGGCAGTCCAAGCTAAGATTCTGCTCCTGAGCGCAATTATATAAGCTTGCTTGACTGTGAGATCAACTGATCGAACACAGATAAAAGTCGGTCATGATCCGCGAGTCTGGTGTGCAAGATCTCGCTCAATGGATCAAAGATACTCAGACGTGCGCATACATTGGATGTTAATCTTGGTCACCGCGTAAATATATCTTAATCTCATGAATGTCTTCTAAAAACTGTCAACAATCTCTTCTTTTGTTCCTTTTTGCCTTCTTAAATCGTTGGTCATGTCTTGTCAAGTGTCAATACGGTATCCTAGGACTATATTCCACTTATGTCAACCATATTTTCATGTTTGTTTCAATATTTTTATAGTAATATAAAAAATTCAAAATGATTTAAGAATGACACCAACATGTAGTAAATAGCTCAGGTAAAGGGCCGTTAGTAAAAAGGCAAATATGAGACAAAAGAGTAATAGCGCGAACATTCCTGTTGCCAACTTCTAATGGAAGGCAAAGTTTAGTAAAAGTCGATAGTGTAGGGAGAAGGGACAACTTTGAACATTTTCCCAATGTACCAATTAATAAATCAAGAAGAGGCTACATTTTCCAAATAATGCGAAACAGGAAATAATAATTGTAACTTGGGTACATTTTGCAACATATATATCTTTACTAAAACAGTTTAAGTTCCACCAAATGTCAGTGATCCAGCTCCCAAGAATTGGATATAATCAATAAAGATGTGGTGGTTAACTCTCTAGCAAAGAAAAAATCTGATGAACATATATTAATATGATTGGCAAATAGATTTTTAAGGTTTCCCAGCTAAGAACTTGTAAAAAAACTTAATCAGGTGGTCATGGAACATTCATAACTTGAATGGACTGCAGCATATCAGAAACAGCAATGATAAGGTCACCTGATCTGACCATGCCCCGAGCTTTTAACAAGGAGAATGTTTTGTTGAGGTTGCTTTCCATATCATTGGAGAAACTCAAGCGGAAAGGTGTCAGACCCCATTGCAGGTTCAGGCGTCTACGTACAGATGTTGTGGTTGTAAATGCAAAAATTGGGCAGTCAGGACGACAGCGTGACAAGAGAGAAGCCATGTGTCCGTTCTTGGTGTAAACAAAAAGAGCATCAACTTCCAAATTGTTAGCTGCAGAATCACAACAGATATTAGCACTCAACCAGTCAGAAAATAGATTAGAAAATGGATTAACAGGTAACATTAAGATATGCTTTCTTCAATGAATGGCTCGTTGAACCTATACTTGAATTTAAACATCCATATCCACAACATTTTAGAATGTAGGTTCTTCTCTGAAGACACATTGGTTTGGGTCTGGGGTTTGGGAGCTAAATTAGTTTCATCAGGAATTAATTTAAGTACGACTGTGTAAGGCAGTCACAATTTGTATAACTGCTTCTTTCTGCTGTGAGGGTGCTATAAAATTAAAGTGCCCGTCCAATAAACATATCCATCCATTAAAGGAAAACTTTTGGTCTTTGCTAAATTTAACGGACACTGCAAAAATGCTAATTGGGTTTACGCCCGTTCTCTCTAGAGTAATTATTTCAAATTTCATGAATCAAAGTATAGTCTTTACGTCAACATTAGCAACAAACCACCATTGCATCTTCAAGCTAGAAAATAATAAGGAAATAAAATTGTCAAAATAGCACAGTATAGCCAGTTTTCGGACTGGTCATTCAAAAATAGCCAGCGTTTACCAAGTCAATAAAAAATAGCCACTATTTTGCTGCAACAGAAACCGGTCCAGCATAATATACTGGAGTTTGGTGCACCTGTGTATGAACTCCAGCATATTATGCTGCACCGGTATACTTTGCTGGCTCCAGTATTTTATGCTGGACCTGTATACTTGCTGGAACTCCAGTATAATATGCTGGAGTTCAAGTATACTTATGCTGGAACTCCAGCATAATATACTGGCGTATTTTTTCGGGTTTTGAACAGTGTTTTCGCTCAGATTTATCTTTACATGAAAAGTGGCTAAATTTCAATTACTTTTGAAACTGGGCTATTTTTGAACGACCAGTTATAAATCTGGCTATTTTTGGATTTCACCCAATAAAATTCTATATAAAGTGGCCCTGCTTCAAAGCCCCAAAGCCCCAGAAAACCCCCCCTTTCTCTCTCTCTCTCTATAAAAAAGAGCCCTTTCAAAGTGGGCTGGTCTGCTCATTATTTATTTTTTTTTTGTCATTTTTTTCATTATTGCAATACAAAGTCAAAATCAATCTTTGTAAAGAAAAATCTATTCAAAAATAAATTTATCCAATAGAAAAGAATCTTACCCATCTGGGCAGTAGAGTTGCAAATCTCCTCTGAGATACTGCCAGTAAAAGAAGACGCTATGGATGGTAGTTCAATAACTTCATGGTGTTTTTGTTCTCTCCAGCTTCTTTCAATTCTCAAACTAGCACTTTTTAGAACACTCAATGCCTTCTCAGGATACTGGCCCATCGCTGACTCACCAGAGAGCATCAAAGCATCCCCCCTTTGCCTAACTGCTTCAGAAATATCAGCCACTTCAGCTCTAGTTGGAATAGGGTATTCAATCATAGATTCAAGCAGCTGGGAGGCTACTATAACAGGCTTATTAAGCTGCCTGCATAGCTGAACAATCCTTTGCTGTTCTGATGGGACCTGTTCAAGCGGAATTTGAGCACCAAGATCTCCTCTTGCCACCATAGCTCCATCTGATGCCTGAATTATCTCTTCCAAGTTCTTCAATGAGTCAATGCTCTCTATCTTTGCAATTACGGCAATATCACTGCACAGTACATTAGATCATATTAATGAATCATCCCACCCCTACAAAGATACTTCATTTGGAAGGAAAGAGGCATCATGGCAGAAGCAGCTTTTGATGCTTAGAAGCGACTGTATTCTTACGAATTAGGAGAGTGGGCTTTAATGTAACTCTTAAGATGCTTAATGACTTCAGCAGATTTGACAAATGATACAGCAATGAAATCAACGCCCTCAGCAATCCCAAAGTCGATGTCTAGCCAATCCTGTAGCAACAAAATAATTGAGATAGACTAAAATTCCAGTTTTTTAAAGTCAAGCATAAAGAGAAGTGCGAGAGATCCTTTATGCACAGGACCTACATAAATTTGAGTAGAGGAGAAAGTACCAAATAAAGTGAATGAAGATGAGCTAAGAAGTACATCAACATCATATTAACCACCAGGTAAGAGTTCAAGGTCGTTCTACTTCAAGCAAAATCAAAAACTCATTTTACTCTTTATGCAACAGAATACAAATGAGTGCATAAATGAGCCGTTAATTGTTGGAATATTAACACACATCTTTTAGTGTAAAAGGAAGTTCATATGTATATAATTGGAAAATGAAATTTGTATGATAAGATTTGAAAGTGCAACTGCTTAGTTAGTGAAAGACCAATGTAAAATAGTGTAACTTAGGTTTAGCAGCTATTTGATTAGACATTTCATTCAATAATCACTAAGATAAGAAATCATCAAGAATATGACTGTATATCTATAATAGCATTGCGAGGGGTGAGAGACAGGGGTAGATACAGAGTGTTTCACTCTGTATGTGTGTTAAAAATTCACTAAATAAATACAAATAATTGATTTTGAACCCAATATATCAAATGAGTTGTGGTAGAATTCCAAACTCTAAATATTTTACCAAATGTTTAAAAATTGTAGTTAAAGAATGTTTGAGTCCCAAAATAATGATAGTGAAGTGCACAAGGAGACAGAAATAGTATTAAAGTGTAATATAGAAAAGGGTTTCTCCATTGGGATTTTTTTACATTTTTTGAAAACCAAAAAAGGAAAATAAACCAGCTTTTAAGAGAGTAGAGAGCGAGGGTCTATCGGAAACAACCTCTCTACCCTTCCAGGGGTAGGGGTAAGGCTGCGTACATCTTACCCTCTCCAGACCCCACTTGTAGACCCCACTTGTGGGAAACTACTGGGTTTGTTATTGTTGTTGTTGTTGTTGTTTTAAGAGAGTAGAGAGTATTACAAGTCAATATCAGAAATCTGAAGCATTAACTATGAGACATGAAGGAATTAGATTCCATAAACTTTATCTGTTATTGAGAGCTTAACTTCCTAGATTATATTTATCATGAGGCCAACAAAATTTGTGGAGATAGAAAGCTGCAGATTGCAATTATAGGAAAACATACATACTACAAGAATTCATACTTAAGCCAAAGATGTATGTCTCAATTGCAGTTAAGTAAGCTGAGCATATAAAAAAGGATCTGCACAAGGAACATAGATGCAAACCTTTGAAGAAATAGTTGGAAGCATTGCATTTCGTTCGCTTACTAATTTACCATCCCGCCAAAATGTCAAGTTGGCCCGAGGCAATAAAAGTCCAGGATCTGTACATAGACACTTAACATCTGGACCAATTTTCTGAATCACTTCAAACCTCACCATTCCACCATCTATTAGTAGCTCATCACCCACTTTCACATCTGTAGCAATGCAATTAAACCAAAAACAAAAAAGTGAAACTTCAAAAGATTGATCTACCAATAAGCACTGGAAATGAAAACATAAGTTCTGCCTTTAAAAAATGTAAATTGTTTTCCCCATTTGGTGTAAAAAAAGTTTCTTGTGTAAAAAACTTTAACAATTGGAGACAAGAAACCTCCAGAAAATGATTTTATGAAGCAAAATATTTTTGTAAAAACATTTTGTGTCATACCACATATAGAACAGTTTGAGTAATAATTATGTCAATTCTTACTTCATACCACTTGTGCTGAACATCATGTATATATTTCTTATTAACTATACTAATCGCAGCAATTAAAGCATCACCCTCATGTTCCAACCTACCACTTTCTACTATTATCACATGCCACCGACCTTTGCGTCTAAACCAAACACCAAAAGATAATTTGAAAAGTAGTTTCCCTTATGGAAAATTGGACATATTATATTATACCAAACAGACTACAGTTCTTCGGGAAAAAATAGTTTTACTTTCTCTTTCAGTTTATACAGCAAACCTTCAGCAAATCCATCATAGTTAACATTAATGGTGTGTCCCGGGATTGGTGAATCGAATGCTCGAACAGTGAAAGTCCAAATTTCCCCATCCTGCACAGGTAGAGTCATTATCTACTGCCTGTTGCACATGAAGACGGCTCAAAAGCATAAAGATAAGTAATCCATTGTTCTCAATAGCTTCAAACAGTTTTCACAAATTATACTTGGTATCAACATAGTTTCTTTTTTTTTTCCTAAGATGAAAAGTTCATGAAAATATGACTGCCATTACCACTGAAACAATAAAACTAAAAAGAACTGCAACCAGAAGACTCTGAGATTCTACCCCCCAACTTGGGAAAACAACATACTAAAGGGTTTGGTTTGTCCAAAACTGCAGCAAGGAACCAACAGGCTATGCCACCCACTTCTGACATTTGTTCATCCCCCTAATTCTTGCTTCCTAATCCACCAGAATTTTGTCCACGCCGTAACAATAAGAGCAAATCTCAACTCATTTTTGCTGATACTACAAAAAGAGGAACGCCTAATTGAGCTACTAATACAATTGAAAAGCTTGCACTTCCCAAGAACAATTCCAGTCATTCTTGTGCTACAATTTGGGAGAAGAAAAGAAATCAAAGAAAAGATCTCGAAATCCCACTATACCATAATAGAACCAACACCTGATGTACCTGAATATAATGTGATAAACCAGAATCTAGCTCTAACTTTACTGACTAAGAGTGTGTTTGGGTAAGCTTCTAAGCAGTTTTTGACTTATCTAAACATTTGGTAAACACTAAAAGTGCTTGTAACCAAGTCTTATAAGCCAAAGTGTTTACTATTTTATTCTTAATAACTTTTGTAATTTTTGAAATATCCTTCCCAAAACAAATGAAATACCCTTCCCAAAACAAAATTCTGAACTTTCTCTCCTTTCTATTTCAGTTGTTCTTCCTTCTCCTTGTAAATATAATTTTCAATTTGTATTTTTTGTAAATTTGTTTAAGGGCATGATTTGAACCACTAGCATCTACTTTCGAACCATTCGCCTCTACTCTTTGTTGTGAAGCTCATTAGTTATTTCAATAACTATTTTTTTATGATGGCAGGCCAGCTTGCGAACACGTCGACTATTCTACCAAGTATGCTACCTCCCACCAGCAGAGGTACCGAGTACCTCTGATCACCAAGGCTTAGGCCGATGGAATGAAATCACCATTTTTTGTCTCCGCTAGGATTTGACCTGAGACCTCATGTGATTGAGTTAAAGCATTGGGCATAGAGCGGGCGAGCCCGAGGAGAGGAGTAGATCCAGCAACATTGAGCCCCCGAAATAGAGTTACTATTCAAATCCCTACTCAGTGCCTTAAGGAGAATCCGAAACTGGTTGCTAGCAAAAGTAGTGCGACAAAGAGCAATGCGGAGCATGGTTCTTCAGTTATTTTTACTTAGCTAAGCCAAATGGGCTCTAAGAAAATAATTATACTATTAGTTTTACCTTAACTTGTAACCAATGAAGGAGGTAAAAGTATTTAAACATCTAACCCATAAACACTTAACGCTATTGATGAAGCAGCAGCAGATGTATACATCTAACAACAGTGAATTCAAAATGAACATTACCTCAGCTTTAGCCGACGAAGCGCCACCGAGATCTCCCATATGAATCTCACTGCCTTCAGTATCCATCATGATGGCGACCGCGAAGCCTTTATCCTCATTCAACCTCCGAACTCTCTCGATCACCATACGATGCCACTCCCGAGTTCCATGACACATATTGATCCGCGCAACGTTCATTCCTCCCACAGCCAACGCCTCCAACTGCTCAATCCCGCACGTCGCTGGACCGATCGTACATATCAGCTTCGTCCTTCGCGTACTCCTGAAACCGTTCTCCTTCAACTCAGCCTCCGTCACCGCGTCCACCTCAAAATCCGCGACCGCATTGTAAGTATCATGCACCTGCGTCGCACTTGATCGTACCACTCCCGAACCGTTCTCTGAAGCTGAAGCTGCTATGATTTTTGTACGTAGAAATGTTTTAACCGGTAACCGTGAACGGATGGTGGAGAGAGGAAATGCAGGTCGTTTTGAGGTTGCGAAGGTCGTAGGCGAGCAGGAAGAGGAAGAAACCAAAAAGTTCAAAACGTGCGACATTTTTCTACCGGAAAATTTTCAGAAAATTATAGCGATTAGGAATAGCTTTGATTCGCCGGCGGCCGGCGGTTGTTAACGGCGGTGTATTTGATAGAATTCGCGCCAAAGGGAAAGAGCGAAAATGAGAGAAACAGAGTGTACGAATAATTTGAAGAGGACGATGGCGGAGATAGCGATGCAGGTGCTAAGAAATGGAACTTGAATAGTCCCTTAAGTTTGAGGGTTACTCTATCTTTGTCCTTTTTCTATTACACTGGACAAAAACTGTCATTAAGTTTACTAAAATCAAGCACTTTTGGTCCATTTATTACGGCACCAATCAGAACTCTTAGGGGTCGTTTGGTAGGATGTAATTAGGAAAAATAAGATATGTATTAGTTTTGGTATTATTATTAATTTATTATTGTACTGAATAATGTACCGAGTATGTAAGACACATAAATTACATAAGAGACATGGAAGAAATATAGAGTACATGACTCAACCTGTAAGTCTGAATAACTTTGTAAATCATGAAATAATTATAGTATCATGCATATGCGTATGAATATCATGTCGTGCATAGGTACATGTTTCATAACATCATCAGCCTCTGAGGGCATCCCATCATATCATCTTGGCCACTGTGGGCAAAATCATCAACGTATACCAGCTGATCAGGTGGTGGTGCGTATATAACGCCATAACCTTTTCCATATCCCATATACATATATATACATACATATATACGCGTATATTACGCCATCTGGTCACGGGTCAATGTACATGAATACAATGCATGAAAAGTACGTTAATAAAATTCTTCGGAATGTCATAAGATCATTTTTTCTTTGAGTAATATCATAAAGTAAACTCTTTTCAACTTTCGTATTTTTTTGAGACCCATGAACAGATGATAAAATATTATGACACATGAAAATTCAAGAACATAGATACCTCTAATACTTCTATGAATAGAGTCATTCATGGAATTTGTGCATTTGCATGTTTCGTTCGTATCGTATGGATCATGCCAAAAGAAAGAAGGGATAGCCTTAACATACCTGTTCCTTGAATTATTTGCACGAAATGAAGCTTCTGCTTCTGTGAGACATGAACGAAATTCTTGCTTGAATTCTATGAAACTTCAATAAAATTTGCTTCTATTGAAGCTTTAAAATGCTTCTGCCTCACGTCCTAGGTTCTACTCATCTTTCCGACCAAATCATGTCTTTCTTTAAACAAATTGGTAAAAATAGGCAAAATAGCTTTTCATATACTGACTTAACTTTTTCTTACGTTATTGGTCTAGAACTTTGGCCTTAATTAAAGTCCTTGGTTAATGTTATCTAACACCCCCACATGTTTAGTGAGAGAAGCTCTGCCTTCTCTCTAAAGTTTCAAACCCTCCTCTAACAACTCAACCGTCTCCTTCACTAAATGGACATAGATTTAGAGATGACAACGATTCCCCCTAAACCACCCGACATAATTAATAAAAATAATGTCACCAATTATACTACCAAAGCCCCCGGAAACCAGGAAACCTCCTTTAAGAACCAACCCCTTAAAGGAACTGAAGAGGCAAACATTAGCTTTGAACAAACGATGCCTCTTCCAAATATTAAATACACTGAACCATCCTCAAGTAATGCAGAGGCTCTTTTGTCTGAAAATGGAAGAATTACTCTCTCTCCTGAGGATAAAGAACGTATGTACATGCCTTGGAAATATTCTATAATCATAAAGTTACAAGGCAAACGGATCATCTATCAAACACTTAAAAGAAAAGTTGAAGAACTGTGGAAGCTAAATGAAAGTTTTCCATTGATCGATCTGGGGTCTGACTATTATATTGCAAAGCTTCAAAAAGCAGAAAGTATGAACCATGTCCTGCAAAAAGGACCATGGTTTGTTTTTGGTTTTTTCTTAAGTTGCCAAAAATGGAAGCCAAATTTTGTGGCAGCAAATGCAAAACAAATATGCACTGTCGTATGGATCCGTCTACCAAATCTACCAACTGAATTCTATGATAAAATAATCCTTCAAAGGATTGGCAACTCTATTGGAAGGTTATTGAAAGTGGATGCCTGTACTTCCTCCACTTTACGGGGAAGATATGCAAGGTTGTGCGTCGAACTACCATTAAACAAACCAGTGGACAAGTTCATAGTTATAGACGAGTACAAACAAATCATTGAGTACGAAGGAGATAAATTACTCTGTAAAAACTGTGGGTCCTTAGGCCACACAAATGGCCAATGCTTGATGGTGATTAACTCTAGAAACAAAGGAGAGAAGCATGAAGACAAACTTAACCAATTACAGAGCACTGAGAACGTTACAAAAACAACCTATGAGGATGATTGGCACACTGTCTCATTCCAGAAAACAAGAAGGTCAGTAAAGCAGTCCACAAGGATGAACAACTCCACGGAGGAAAGTATAAACGTTAAGTTATTTAATGCCTCTAGGGTAAGTATATTAACACACAAAATTTCAAGTTTGTTAATAAATCTCAAAATACTCCTTCTCCTAGCAAGGAAGACAGAAGCCATATTGAAATGGCAAAGCACAACAAAACCATCACAAACATGAACAACAATGGTTTCCACTTGGAAAACAGCTTTTCTGAGTTGTGCAACGAGCACATGGTTTTGGACTCTAACCAAACTGAAAATAAAAAAACATTACTCACTAACTTAGACATGCATAGGTCCACGTGTAATATGGAACCCTCTAAAACTGCTACTACTACTAATCACCCTACAAACACTTACACCCAAACAACCAACATTAGCACTAATTAAAATATGACAAGTCAGCCTCCTAATGTAACAAACAAACATTTTTATTTAACACCTAATCTTCCTACCACTAAAGACAAAAACCCTATTACTACTACCTTACACTTGTCCAGTGAAAACAACACAAATGAAGACATGAAAATTACTACACGACAAGTGGCATTGAATGCCCATGCAAAATCCCACCCCAAATCTACAAAACCAGACTCAAATCCTAATACGCTATCCCACTCGGATTGCATGCACATAGATGCAATTATACCTTACTCCCCAAACCCCTCGACTTTAAGTAGTAACAAAAACATCAAACATGCCGAGACTCCCTCTAAACAATCGGAGAAGATACAGATTAATACAGCTCCTCCGACCACAAAGGCCTTTGAACATGGAAAATCTCCCACCACTACCACAACACATTCCAAACAATCCGATTGTCTATGTCCAACCACCACTTTCCCAGGATCACCACCCACTGTCTTGGATAGAAATAGGCTTAATGGGNTCATGGAATTTGTGCATTTGCATGTTTCGTTCGTATCGTATGGATCATGCCAAAAGAAAGAAGAGATAGCCTTAACATACCTGTTCCTTGAATTATTTGCACGAAATGAAGCTTCTGCTTCTGTGAGACATGAACGAAATTCTTGCTTGAATTTTATGTTTAACAGATGTATAACTAATATATGTATTAATTATACATCTTATTTAGTATTATTTTTATACACCTTTATATATCAAACCAAACAGCCCACAAGAAATAATCTCCCCATAACTAATTTCATCATTATTAATATACTTTATTCGTTACAATTCTTATATACCATGCCAAACAACCCCTTAAAGATTAGATCTAATATATTGATAGAGCTTCAAACTTGATACTATTTTTCATTTTAGCACCTTATCCTTTTAGGGAGCACCTATTGAATATTTCATATTGTTTAAACGAAAAAGGACAAAAATCATTTTTGAATTTAACTTATATATACTATTCATACTCTATCAGCTCATAAAATCCTTACATTATCTTCTATCTCAATATATTCCTAAGTAATTAAAAGGTTCAAATATTCACCTCATACTGATGGTGAAAGCTATATTAGTGTATATTTGGATCTTATTAATTATTTAAAAATATATTTAAATAATTTTAATCAATTTAAGGGCATATTTAAATTATTCATTTGCTAATATGAGACGGAGTGAGTAGTTATGTTTTAGGCTCAAATTTTAGTTTTATTAAAATTTCCCATTCACTAAAGTGCAAAAGGGCAAAAAAAAATGGGCAATCTACACATTATCCACCAATAATTATTATATTGGTGGATATTTAAAAATAAAGATATTTAGATATAAAATAATCGTTAGTCTCATCTCCTTCTCCTTTCTTATTTTTACTCTTAAATTCCCATTCCTTCGTCAAAAAGGCAGTTCTCAGATCAAAGATCAATTATTCAACTTTATTTTCTCACCGATCAAATTACTGATCTTCGATTCTAATTCTGATAATCACGATCTGGATTTTTAATCGATTTTTTGGATCAGATCTATAAATTATGGGAGGTTTCATATCGAGATTCTGGTTCATGATGTTTCCAGCAAAAGAGTACAAGATCGTTGTAGTTGGATTGGATAACGCTGGTAAAACGACGACGCTTTACAAGTTGCATTTAGGAGAGGTGGTTACTACAAATCCTACTGTTGGTAGTAATGTTGAGGAGCTTGTTTACAAGAACATACGATTTGAGGTACAAATACTACATCTGAAACTTTTAGTTTACTTCTTTTGTAAGTTATAATTGGATTGTTTAACCATTTTGTATCAAGCTTGTATGTGAAATTTTAGTATGAAATTGTTCTAATCCCTTTATCCCAATTTACGACATATTTTCCTTTTTAGCCTGTCCAAAAAAAAAAAAAGAGATACCTGTCTATATGTAGAAATAATATAATTTTAAACATTTTATTTTACTCTTAGTGAGATTGATTTATCGTCACACAAATGTACATGGCAAAACTTTTACTTTTATCTTGAGTTATAATTGGATTACTTAAACCATTTTGCATCAAGATTAGGCGTGAAATTATAGTTTGAAATTGTTCTAATCTATTTGTGTGTGTGTATGTCCAAAAAAATTAGAAATAGTTTAACTTTAAACTTCTCATTTTTAATCTTAATGAGAAAATTTATGGCCATACTAATTTTTATGGCGCATATTAGCTCAAAATTCTATCTTTTTTCTCAAACAACGTGCCCAAATCAGCTTGCACGAGCAGTAGTTAATGCACTGTATATCTGTGTAATCTTGGGAAGATGGGAAGAAATTCCCTAGCTTTTTCAAGTTCTCAGGTTCAAATTTCAGTGGAGACAAAATTAATAGGTGATTTTCTTTCCATCAGTCTAAGCCTTGAATCTTGATAAGAAGAATAATCCAGTACTTGTGTTGGTGGGAGGTAGCAGGTACCCTGTGGAATAGTCAAGTTGCGCCCAAGCTGGTCGGACACCATTGCCATAAAAAAGATTGCTTATCTTTTTAACATATGTTAGGATTAGAACCCTGGTTTCCTATGGGCTTGAATTCCATCTATACTGAACCACTAGATCACACCCTTGCTTGAAAAAGAATGATTTTGTTTAAGAGATATATTGCAGAAATGAATTGGTTAAATACGTAGGAGAAGGTTCTGATTTGGTATCGTGTGGAATATATAGTAATTGCAATTGGCGGAGATTTATTTGGTATTGCCATTTAGTTTTACTTGTTTAACTTGCAACGCGTTGTCAGAAAATTAATAAACATCTGCTAACATGCTAAGGAGAAGGTTCTGGTTGCTAAAGGGGGAGAGCTCATTTGTTCATGATGGTGATTACCACTCATTGTTTAAAGAAGAGATTTATCTGTAAAACTGTTTATTCTCCCAAAATGGTGGTTAATGACTAGTTTGTTATAAAACAATAGAAGCAGAAGAACAATATTGCAGAGAAAGAGAGAGAGAGAATTCTTATTGAATTTTGGGATGAATTACAATGGAATAGAACCCTCTATTTATAGGGAGATGGTGACTTAGCTACCAATAGTAATAAACCCTAGAATCTCTCTAAATATGGACATTCACTATAAATAGAATTCTATTTATAACACTCCCCCTTGAATGCCTATTCAACAGATAATGTGCCTCGTTAAAACCTTAACTAAAATAAAACCCAGCGGGAAAAAAATTCTAGAGAAGGAAAAAGAGTACACATATCTAACAATACGCCTTTTGGTTGCCTCGTTAAAAACCTTGCAAGGAAAACCCAGTGGGACAAAACCTTGTAAGGGAAAAAGAGTACAACGCGTAGTAACTCCCCCTGATTAGAGCATCAATTCACATCCTTAACCATTTGCATCCCAATCTTGTGCACCATCTTCAAAAGATCTTTGGTGGATATTTGATAAATAATATCAGCCATATTAACTTCAACGAATTTGTTTCACCTTGAAATCATCATTCCTGATAGATGTATTGTCTTCATATGATCTTGTTGGAATCATCATTTCAATATCTTCACATAGAGGTGAAAACTCTTGCTATCATATTATCGTGCATATAGTTATAGCAAGATATATATGTGCACAAATTGCATTTAGGATATAGTACTTCATGACCATGAATTCTATATGCTTTAAGCAATTTAAATCCTTCAAGGATTTTTAAGTCATATAAGCCATATAATAGACTTTAGATGCATATCAAGTTTTCATGTCATGCTAGACATATAAGATATCGAAAACTAATCGCACATACCATTGACTTTATACTTTCAAGTGTTTGAACTGCAGGTCCAAAACTACTTGTCTTTCATATGAAACTAAATTCTACTTGAATTGTTTCTCCAGACTTAAGATCCTCATATATATATTTAGCGCTGTCATAGATGTCGTCGACAAACATTTTATATCGGTTTCAATATTGTTTCATAAAGACATAACATAGAGATCTCTTCATTCATATTTTCAGGTACCTGAATCTCTCTTGAGATTTTATGAAGTGTTATGTCACGTGATCTTCTAGATCACTTGCCTCCTTTATTATGATCATTTTGATCATTTGCTCATCTTCTTTATCAAGAAGTTTATTTAAAACCGATTTGTCTATATGCTTTAAGCGTACTATAGACTTTGTCCTTCTAGGACTTATTCTAATATGAGCATTTGCAATGAGAATATAGTTACTTTCTTTGGGTCAGCAAATGCGTCTGACATGCTTTGCAATAAATTGCACATGAATTATCCTTTTATGAACTTCAAATTCATATTATTTTATTCGAGGATCTAGATGTATAAATGATACTTCATTCCATGTAACTTTTTCTCAACTATTGTATCTTGTCTCCCCCTCATGTTAGAAAAACTAACTTGTTTCCTTAACTTTGAGAACCCATCTTTGTGCGTTATGGTGCTAATCAAAATATACACCGCACATCAATAATAATGAGATGGAATTATTTAGTTCCTGACCCTGAAACCACTTGTGAAGGGAGAAAATAATATACTTTCGTATATAACGTATATCAAACTGATATAGATAACTTTGTTCTCATAAGCACTTGTTTAGATATTAAGTAGATGCACTTAATAAATTATTTTGCTAAACCAACTGTGATGTAAACCAACTTATTAAGATGAACTTCTTGAATAGAAAATCTGAAAATTATGCTCGAATAATTATTGAGCAAGTTACCTCGCAAACACCACGTTGCAAGTTAATAATAATTGCACGTGTAACCATCTCATAGATGCATCTTAT